CGATATCACAAAAAAAGACCGGGACGTGTATACATAAGGGGAGTTTTATATAAAGATAGAAACCGAAATTCGGTTCTTGATCTTCCACGAAATTTCAGCGCCGGCTAATACGAAGTTGCCAGTTCAATCTATCTCGGATCCGTCACGCTCGCAACATTATAAACTCTCTGATGACATCCTAAATCATTGTAAGAAATTAACGATTGAGGAAAGCAACAACAATTTTGGAAGACGTGTTGCGTCATAGCTTTAACAAAAATTTAAGGTTGCAATTTAAAATAAAATAAAAAGTCTTCCAAACCTGCCTAAAGTTTTTTGTGTAATGTTTTGCCATGCTCATCGAATATACGCATGTAGCGTCGTCGTAAGCACTTTAACAATCTTTAGATAGATAAACAAGGAGCATTAGAAGCTTTATTGCCACTGAATGAGATATCGTTTAGTGCTAGTAAAGCTCCTTAAGAAAGCTGCCGCCAAGCAGTAATACGAGCGGTGCGATACTGGTGAAACTACAAGCACAAGGGACTTGGCAACTTTAAGGCTCAGGGTGACAGGTGCAGTGTCAGTATCCCTCAAGTCTTTCCATTTGAAGCTCTGGCTAGCACTGCAGCTGTTATCTCACATGAAATCGTAAAAAAAATAATACCTATGCCTACTTCTTTGAAGATGGAAAAAAATATAATCTAAGCCCTACTTGCTATTTATCTTTGACAACACTTGTCAACTCCATGTGTCGTGGTGAATGGCGCAGTGGTTGAGCCTCTCAGGACTTTGCGTTTTAAAGCTCAGAGTGGCACTGCAACTGTTTACCTCTGACAGGCGTGTCGCTTACCACCAGGCCTACCACTTCTTCATCCCGTTACTTACTATCATAAAAAATAAACAATAAAGAAAACACAAATATGCAATTGCCCACATATCTTGTACAATTAGGTGTTCGTTTTTCACATTACGTTTTAAAAAACGTTGTTTATCGTGTGGATAATAGGTGTTCATTCGTGTGGCTAATATATATTATAATAAGGTCTAACAAAACACGACTATTATAAATTCTTATAAATAATTTGTGATAATAACTTACTTATTATACATGTATGCAATTATTACCCTGACAGTTACGTGGTTATTTAGGACAAACGATATTCATAGCGTGAATAATGTCGTTGTTCATTTGTATAGTGTTATTTTATAGGGAATAGAGAACACAACAACACGATTACACATTGACAATTATCAATATTTAATAGCGTAATGAATATACAGAGTTTCTAATTCTACTATATTTCACTAAATTTTTTATAAGTCCTTACCTATGAAATTGCCGTTATAAATAGAGGGAATTGAAAAAAAAAATAATGAAAAATATATATTTAATTAATCTCAGTATGGACCATCATAGTCAATGTACTTTTGCCATTTTAATGGAAGTTCATTGATGCCTCTGCTATAGAAATTCTGGGAACGGGAACCGATGAATTGTTTAAAGGCATTTTTCACCGCCTCATCGGAATTGAAATTGTTTCCTATAATTTTTTTTACAAAATCTCGAAAAATAATAAATATCAGTGGAACAAAGTCTGGTGAGTGTTGAGGGTGTCGGAGAGTTTTTAGTCGCAACTCCTGCAGTTTTGAGAATGCCCGATGTGCGGTGTGTGGGCGAGCGAGAGAGTGAGTTTACTAGAGTAATTGACAAGAGTCGGTTGTTTGACAGCCAGCTTGTCCATCGTCAATTGCAATTCTTCACGTGACACCTCTGCATTAATCGTTGTGGCAGGTCTCGAGAAGCGGCAATACGTTGAAGGCTGCTGCTAATTACGAATTGGTTTAAGAAGAATCTGCTTCGACTACAGCTTTCAATTAATCGTTATCAACTTTCGTCTCAAGCCAACCACGGGCTCATTCATTGTTGAGATTTAAATTTCCAGAACGGAAGCGATCAAAGCAAAAACGCACTGTGCGGTAACTTGTGCTGCGTTGGTGCCATGCCCTGTATTCGAAAACAGAAAGGCGATTTCGATTTTTCCATGGTCACAGAAACAGCTAAATAGAAAAAATCGAACGGCAGAAAATCAAATGAATATCTGATTTTTGAAAAGAAATATCCTAATTATATTATTAACTGTAATTTGAATTTGAAACTCTAAATAAAATGAATTATTAAATAACATAGTGGCTGCATGTATCTGTGCCTACTTTTATAACATATTAGTTTGAATTGTATTATCTATGGAGGAATAGCTGCAATCTGTTAAAAAAACAATAAACCCGCCATTTGCAAAGTCCGTAAATGTTGTGTTGTGAAGCGATATTTATTCATCCAAGAAATAAATTATCGTTGTATCTATATCCCGACAAATGTGATGAAAAACATTATATGTAGCATTTTAAAACTCGAGACCCGTTAGTAATTTTTTATTTAGCTCCCTTAATACACAATGTACTATTAAGTAGATATCGCACACTTAGTGTATTAAAACCACATCTACAAAATGGCAACTTTTCGGGAGAGAGGTTTGAAGATTTTAGTAGCAGTAGAGCTCCTTGTGAAAAAGGGTTTGAGGGTTTCGTCAACTTCTGGGTATCTAGCCCAAAACTTAGCTGGAGTGATTAGTTACACAGTGGTAATGTCCGATGTACGCAGTACCCGCAACTTCAGTTATTGACTCTCTCTTTTAACTCTGTACAGGAGCAGTGTTCGTTTCGCAGCGAAAGGTGTTGGAATGATCTTCCACCTCTTGTAAAAATCGCTAAAACGTTATAAACTTTTAAAAAAACAATGTACCTAAGCAATGGCTAGTATCTGTACAAAAATCGAGTAACAACTTGCCCCCAATTAAAAACCCTAGCAGCACAAAATTTTAAATTTTAGGGTAAATAAATAAAAAATGACACAGATAACCTTTCACTTGTTACTAATTATTACTTTAGTTTGGTTATTACTTGGTGTACACTCAGCTTATTAGCTTGATACAGCTTGGTATTTGGTACTAGTAGACTGAAAATCAGCAATGCTAAGTCTTTAACTTTTTTGTCCGCATCACTGAATTGTACTTTCTATTAGATTTTAAGTATTGTGTTTCCTATGTTTTGTGGAGAAATTAATGTCTTTTGATGTCATTTTTAACTATTGTTTTAATACTGTAACGGTTTGATTTAAAGTGACAAGTTACAAATAATAATTTTGAGTATCTACGTCACAGGCAAAGAGCAAACAAAAATACGCAGCCATTTCCGCATCGTGCAGCCCAACGACAAATAGTTGGAAAACAATTTGCATTGTATGCGTTGCCAGCGACAATGGCTATTTATTTTTATAAAGTACTGTCCATTATAACGTTTACTAGCACGAAGCGTTGCTGATTGCTATTAACCAATATAAGCCACACAACTGTGAACGGGTTTTCTCTAAGTAGAAGAGTTTTAACATTTCGCATTCATGAAAGCGATGTTTATTTTATTTTTGGTCTTTAAAAAATTGGTAGGTATGGAATGGTATGGAATATGGACTTCGTTACGAGAAAGTAAGGGAACCTATATTCATTTACACGGAATCGCACTGTATATCGATATATTAGGTTTATAGATTTATTTCTCACCAAAAATTTCCACTCACATGATATGAGAAAAAAAATATTTTTTTTTAATTTAAATGTGAGTTACTTCGTTTAATCGTTAACATAATATACATAGAACGGGCAAAACTAGAAGCGACATGCAAGTAGTTTAATTAGGACGAGACGTTTGGTACTTTAAATTGTTATTTTATTATGTTTATTGTTTATAATGATAATATTTTATTATTATTATTATAAGAGCGTAAAAGACGTTGTGCGTTTTTCGCTGGCTCAAACTGTTTTCGTGTTAATAACTGTTGTGTCTCCCTTATTAGATCTAGAGCACAATAAAAAAAAGAAATAATAAAGAAAGAAATAATAATAAACTTCTTTTTTATTGTACCGTCTGGCGCAGTTTGCTAAGAGACACTGGTTCGAATCCACCCGGATCGAAGGCATTTTTCCTAAGTGTTCGATCTTTGTATTAATAAGTAAAAGAAACTTGTAAATGGGATTATGATGATGATTGCTTTTTAAGAATAAGTCACACACATAGCCTTCTCTGATAGCTATAATTGTTTTACAATTACAATCTAAAACATCAAGAAGACAGATGTCATGTAGGCTGCGTTACCGTCGCTGACGATTTTGCCATATTATGATGTCAATGAATTTGACCGGCGTAAGTTCAGCGTGACGGAAAATTCTGTTCATTTTAATGAATAATCAGCTTTGACAATTATTTACTGGATTTCAATGCAATATTTTCGTACACTTAAAATGAATTGAATAATTCATTCTAGATGAATAGAATCTGTGCGGAAAGTTATAGTTCTAAATTAAAAGCGTTTATTTTTTGTGATTGTTTTTACAAGCATTCTTATAACTGATTATATTTCGTTTCTGTGTCTACTTACTTAAGTACGAATTTAAGCTTTGACGATTTTCACACATTATTTGATTTTTAGTTCGGGACTTAATCGTGTATAAAAACATATTTTATTTACCTCGATGTATCGCACATATAGCAACGTCCATGGTCTCGCAGGGACTGAAGAGGTGAGTGACAACGTAGTGCGTCGATCTAGTGACAGCCCTAGTGCACAAATAAATAATGAAGATCAAGTGTGAGCAGATACAAAAATTCGCACGGCTAGAAAATGTTCACACTCGCCTCTTCTTAAAGTTTTCTTCATTTTTATGTAGATACTAAAGCATTGTAGAATAAATTCGTGCAGTACAATAAAATAATATCAGTACTTAAAATGCTACAAATTGTAAGTAATTGTCGAGATTGACAAAAGGAATGTGCGTCGACTTAATTCGTCTTCCCAGATACTTCAATATACTTACGCACAAACAAATATGGCCTCGAAACAGCACGTCTATGTTTACCTCAACAGTACACGTAATTATTTTTATCAATGAACTTGACACGCGTGACCGCGTCGTTCCGCTACACTTTGCCTGCACCGCTGCGCTCGCGCCGATCTGTGGAACCTTAACGGTAACTAACCGTGAAACGTTTGTTTTTTTACTGATTTGGATACATTTTATTAAGTTTTCCCGTTGCTACATATTGGAAATGAAACTTATTTTTTCGGATCTAAGGGAGCCATCACACTTATCTACATGAAATAGCATTAAATCGATTAAAAAATGCTTTATATTCTTGTGTTAGGAGCGAAAAAGACGTTGCGCTTTTAGCGTCGGCGGCACGAGCGGAAGCGATACGTGCAACGTCATTTTCGTTCTTACCGCAGATTTTTCTGGCCGAATCAAGCCGTTAATTAGTGTGTTGACTCTCTAAGTCGCGTATGATGATTTTTTCAAACAAATCAACGTTTCGTGTTCTATGTAGTTCCCATGGACTCGACTAATTGTAGTAATTTTAATATTTATTTATTCGATATCGTGATGAAAACATACATATAAGTGTTTTATATATTTTTCTGTGAAAATACTCTACTAGTTTGTTATTATTATTTAAACAAAGATTGAAGTGTCTGTTGTCATGACAGGGCTACTCTCTGAACCAACTAATTAATAACAAAATTGTAGTAAGATTTTCTTCATGAAAAATAACTTACTACATTGTATTTTTACATTTCGAAATCTTTTCAAAGGTTTCTAGCTTTGGTTTCCTGTACAAAGCCGCGTGGTTAATTAGACGTTTGTCAACAATGGTTATGTTATAGTTGTCGAGTACACAACTTTTATTATAGAAAAAAAATGGATATCCCCTACATATTGTTCCTTACAACAGTATAGGCGTACTTACAACATTGAGTATATAACCAGAAATAGAGATGAAATGTCATTAAATTTGTTTGAAAACTATTCCGCCAAATCATTACGGAACCAACTGCGCTCCGATTAGCCATCCCGAATTCGAAACAATTGACGGGTGTCGTCAATTGTTTCACTTCAAATTGACCAGTTTAACTAAAAAAATTGCAAAATTACATATTTAATATTTGATTACCGATGAAATGTGATTCCGTTTGTTTTGTAATTAGATGTTTTGCTGTTTTTTTCACACCACCGGATGGAACAGCCACCATTGCTAGAGATATTATCATTATTACGATAAATACAGAATATATTTGGAATATACGGAGACGTACACACAGGCCAGTTGTTGGCGCTGTACTATTTCAGTTTTCTAATTTGTGATTTCAGCGCAAACGAGTTGATATTTAAAAGTGATATAACGCCCATTTGCCTGAAAAGTTGCCAGGAATGGATGGCCCTTATTTCGTGTCTGTGACTGATTATATACTCGACGATTTACAATTTTGTCAAAAAAGAGTTACATCATAGTTCATGACATTGGCAATCGAACTATGTCATACAACATATTGACGTTCATAACGTTCAGTCATATGCTGAGTGAACGCTCTGTCACTGCCGGGACAAAGACCTTTCATTTTTCCTTTTGAATTTAATCTATATTTCGTCATATAATAAGCAGACGATTTGTGTCATATAAAGGTGTTCACTATCAACAAAGCCTTCCTTGAAGCCTTTCCAACCTCAAAATAATATGATTTTCTTGTCTTTATAACAGAATATTGATCTAACTGATCAATAAATTTGTATTGAACGTCAGGATGTTTTACTACCATGGTATTAAATCATTTTGTGAAGTTGCATTTATTTTACAAGTAAGCTGTCGATGGTCACGAATGACCGTCGTCATTTGCATGGAAAAATAACCTTTCCGGTGGTAAGCTTCGATTTTGCTGGTACTATATATATATATTTATGTTGTCAGTATTCTAAGTTACATCTTATAGTGTTATACTGGATGAAATGTCATATTAACTGAGCACTAGAAATAATCTAAAAATAATGTATTTTGAACCGTAGAAATTGTCTTTAATAGTCTCGGTACGCCATAGGATATAAAAGTATTTTGTCGCATCTAAATCGCAAACATTTGTTTTTACAAACAAACTAACAACGTTTCGATCCCTTTACAGGTCTCACGGTCACTACTGACTGAGATGGTAGTCATCCACAGTTATGTCTAATATTAATGCAAATTACCCAATTTTTCATTAAAGTTACAAAAGTTATTAATTACCTAATCTCCTTATTTTTAATTTTCATCTCCTATGTGTAACAATCGTGAAAATCTAAGAACTCGATATGTACTAACGAATTTTTAAAGGCTTTAGTCATAATAATTTTTGGTGTCGTTCCAACTTTATGCGTTATAAAAAAAAACACTAATTCGGTTTTTTTAATGTTATAATACCAACAATAAAGCAATCTTAACCATCAATTTACTTCTTATCTAAGGACAGATATCGTAATTTATGAAAAACAATAGTAGGTACGGTGGGCCTCGCTTACACACTCTTGTTGGTGATACCTCCTCCATTTCTCACAATCATTACCAGGTCTTGTCTTCTTACATCCGCTCACCTTGACCATCCCTTTTATGAGCTCATCGAATGATATTCTCCGTTTTCCCATGTTTCTCTTTCCTACTATCTTCGCCTTATTTGTAAATTCGATACGTAGCCAATATCCAAACGTTCCCCACTTTAATAGATACATTGTGTTGGTCAAAAAGCCCGTGAGGTATCAAGTGTAAATGAAGTATTATAAAAAAATAGATTCAATCAAATATATATTTGCCATGTTAATCTACAATCTTTCGCCACGTGTCGGATAATTTTACAATCCCCCGTTCATAAAAATTCCTATCGTTGATGGTCTTTTCGTTACCAAGGTCAAACAAGTGGAAATCTATGGAAATGAGAGTTAAATGAGATAACACATCACAACCTAACTGCAATAGTTTTAAGATAGCTTTGTAGAGTTGTTTGTGGTTTGGCATTATCCTGATGAAATGAGACAATGTGTTGTAAAGGACACATCAGTTTTAGTTTTTCATGACTTGTAAACTAAAACTTACCCGCCTATTCTTAAAATGCGCGCTAAACTTTTAAGTTTATAATGACCATAGACATTATAATATTTCAAAAGAAAAAAGTTATTTTTTATTTAAAGTTAGATAGTGGCAAAAACCGCACGGACTTTTTTGCCAACTCATTATTAAATTCTATTTGCTTTTTGCATATGACTATAAAGTGTCATACATAACTCATAACTTTTTTCAAATTACATGTAAAAAAACTCTCAAAGCCTTTACGATGAAGTTCTTGCATTAATTTATATTAAGAGTACAGTGATTCACACCTGATAGCCATCAATTTGGTACAAAAGACATTATCTCACAGCGTCCGGGTCACGGGAAAATTTGAAGATTAACAAAAAACGACAAATGGGCGTTGGAGTACCTTGAGTTGCGTCTCAACAAGGTGACAAAATAACATCGCGTAATTTGTTACTCAAGGCAGTTTGTTTGTAAGGGAATCCGAAATGCTTACAAGGATACAGGGTGTCCTTAGATACGCGACGTGACAAAGTAACCGGAAGCCCATTTTTGTGTGAAAATCCCGAATACAACTCGATAAGCCAATGCTATTGTTGTTGACAACCGTGACGCGATTGCGTTGGCCAATCTGAAGACGCATAAAGATAATACCAAGCTAATGACAATACCAAGATTGTCATGTATCATCATTTCTTAAATCTAGTAGCGGACTTACATTGTCGAGATAATGGAGAAACTATTAAAAATACCTAAGTACCCACCTACTCAAACAATAAACATTGACAACAAAACGTATTATTAAATAATAGCTAGTTCAAGAATCAGCATTATTTTTCATCATAATAGTTACTTTTGTAGGCGTAGCGTAGAAGCATACATTTTATTTTTATAGAATCTTTAGCACGTGGTTTTGTTGAATGGCCATGGTGAGCGAATCATTTGATAATGTAATGACCAGATTCCGGTGTTAAAACTGAATCTGAACACAAAGGCATAGTGCCACCTCGTAGCATATATGTACACGCACACATGAATGCTCTCATACTTACCTAGGTACATACTTCATACATATTTTTTTTAGAATTAAATTTGAAAGGACCTAAGCCTGAAATAATAATGATACATAAGCAGTAAGCTCAGGGCAATCTGTATCATCGTCATCACTCGGCGGCAGTCCATCTACGACATCTAATGACGTATTCCTGTGTTATTGATTGTGTATGAATGAGGTTAATAACACTTCGACTAATTACAACACACGAAGACCAATAATGGAATAGAATGGTCCGAAAACAGGCAATTATAAGTTGTTTCCAAATTTCCTGCTCCACAGATTCTCGAAGTGATTTCGTAGTGCACGCAAGCCTCCAAAGTCTTCACAGACCTCTTCAAATTAATTTCTCTAGTCTTATTGTCTATAAAAACATTAAATGCAATGCAAACAAAAAATACACGAAAGCAAGAAGGCCTTAGCCCAAATAATAAATATGGAGGGTTGGATGGAAGGACAAAAAAGACCTTAAAGCAGACCAAACCCTTTTAAGTACTTTAGCATTTAATTACTGTTATAGGTAACGAAATCGTTAAACAGCCACATGGTTGCTAAAGTGGTGTTTGGAAAGGCATAAAGTTCTTAATTATGTTTTTATTAACGTCGATAATTGATTTAGATGATTTGGTGGGCTTATTTAGGTAGGCATTGACCTTATTTATGACAGAAAGACATTAATTGGTAATAAAATTAAAGCTTAATGCGAAACGAAAATTCAACTGTTGGTAAATCCAAGGCAACAATCATACGGTATGGTACTCGTATTATGGATGCTTGGGAGAACAGAGCAAGTGAAAAATCTGCTGTTTCATAACATTCTCGTTTGGTGGGCAAATTTACGATAAAAATACTCCATCATTGTCAACTCGACCTCCTCTAAGAAGAGGCTTTAGATCCTAGTTCTCCTAACTTTGCCAAAGCGAGTTAAGGACGTAATAGATTTTAATGTGAACTTCTTCACGAAGTTTTTAGCGACAAGTATTGCCTTTATAAACATTCCCAAATGTCAAAAAAGGAAATTCGAACTATCAATTAAGGTTGCAATTTCCAACTACCAACACTACCTGTCAAACGCTTTGCCGTTACTATTTTAGATAAACGAAATAATAAACAAAATAACAGACAAACAAATTACGTTTTCGTTGCATAAAAAGTTAGTAATCGGTCGTGCGTGAATTTCCTTTAAATATTTAGTTAACGATTAAGTGATGGAAGTATCTAAGTTATTAAAGCAAATACCAAATAAGTGCTTAGCTTAATTATTAAATGAATTTTCTTTGTTACAGCACCCGAAGTGACTCGTGGCGAAGATTTTGGATATGATGGCAATATAGGTATAGTATGCAGCATAAGTTAAACATGACACGGAACATAAGAAACATTCCAGTTGAATAAAATTCTTTCAATAAAAGACGAAAGAAAAACTATTTCTTTCGTCTTTTATTGAAAGAATTTTATGAATGCTAAACTGCATTCATCATCATCATCATGATCAAACCATTAAGGTGAGATCCGGTTGGGACTTTACAAGACTCCCAAGGTCTAAGAACCTATTTGGTGGTCATTACGATGTTTTCCTTCGTCGATAGCAAGCAAGAAATATTTCTACTAGGCGTTCACAAATATACGTAATTTACAAATTGAAGTAATAGGTACATGCCACAGGATTTGAACCATCGAATTCTCTTTTCAGAAGCAAATTTTCTCCCACTGGGTTACTGGGTTTTAAAGATTTTAAATGAGTAACAATGATATAACCAAAGAAACAATAAATATATGTTAAAATACATGTAAGAAAGTAGGATTCATATTCGTTTAAACAGAAAATAGTCACAGAAAGAATATAAACCAGCAATACTTCTTATAACATCATAATATGACCGTTTTGCTAACAAGAGATGAAGCGTATCCCCATTATCGTCTTTTTCGGGTGCTAGTTGATATTGGGAATTCAGATTCGTTATCAACACGGACATGTTCGTTGCTAGGTGCACTAAAATTATCAGTATCTATTATTAGATACGTGTTCCATTATGGTGGGCAAAGGTCACGAAGCTCCACTTGCCATGCACCTAAAAACCTCATTCGCCTCCTCCGCACTAGAATCTTTATATGCTCGTTTATTGTTGCTACTTTTAATATGAACTTTTTAAGAACATCCCCAATCTGATTGAAATATGCACGACTAGATCTGCCTCTTGACACGTTTCCATCCTTTCTGCATAACCAAACCATCGAAGCAATCCCCTTTTCTATCTTGGGGGTCTACCCCTTTCTCTGTCCGAAACAATTACTATTAAATAAGCCAATTTGATTTCCAAATTTCCAGATTTTGGATTTCCAAAGACAATGTCATATATGAAGCTTCATTCGCGTCATTGTTTCGGAAGGATGTCGAACACTGCATCATCTTTCACATCAAAACGCTCTCCTATTTCTAGTACCTTAGTTACTTTGCTTAGATATACCTAACATATATTTTAGGTCCATCGCACTGGGGCGAACGATATCGCGAGTGTACCGGCAAGCACCAGAGCCCCATCAACATTAACGTACTTCAAGTGAAGCAAGTCTCCCTACCTGACATCGTTTTCATCGGATTTGATGACCCCATTGACGACGTCCATGTCACCAATAATGGTCATACCGGTGAGTGATTATTTATAGAAGAAGTAGACACACGAGTTGTAAATTGTGGTAGAATGTATCCGATATACATTGTCATTTAGGTACGTTATTTTTACGTAAACTAGATGTCTATGGAAAAATAATCAGTCATCAAGACCTTACCTTGTTGGTCTATTATATTATATTAACTACCTATATTATACTTAATAGGCTAATCCAATTCTACCATAAAGAGATGTATTTGTTGCTTCTCTTCCTCGTGCTGGTGTAAATAAGGTGTGACATTTTCGATGCATGTTGTCGGTAGCATTACCGCGAATGATTATACACATCGATAACAATGAAGTGTTGCTATGTACCTTTTTTGTTTAGTGTACCTACACAATAATTTTGCATCTATCACATTTTGTGAAATTACAATTTTTTTTATACTCAGGCTTAGAATAATAACGCATAGAATGATAGTTTCATATCAAACGAACTGTCACAAGTGAGGCAAAAATCAAATTCATGAAGGCTAGTTTTAGTAGTAGGTTAATTTTCGGTTTTAGTGAATATTTATATAAAAACACAAGTTGAAACGCCTTACTTCCTTGTGGAATGTGATGTTAGTATCTATTTTATGTTTGTCTGACGTATTTTTACATTCATTTACCGCACATTTCGTCATTTTTAGCTAAAATTCTTGATCTGTTCGCGGTGCAAGTTGACCTTGAGCACTGAAGGCCCGTCCGCTCGTGTAGGCCCTTTTGGCGCGCTTCAATTTGCCTCACTTAGCGTGTGCGGGTTAGGTTTCTATGCGTTATTATTCTAAGTACTCAGGTATAAAAAAAAATTTTGAAACTGAAGTACAATATATGTAGGTTGCTTCGGTTACGCAAAATTATATAGAACCAGTGGATATACATTTGATAAATTGTTATCATTTCATCCATTGGATAAGACCTAGAAACATTTTGATGTCTGAAATCTTTCCAGTGCTAATAGAGGTGCAAAATGAACCCCACCCGCGTGTTCGTGGGGGGCCCCTGGAAGGGGACTACGTCTTCAGCCAGATGCACTTCCACTGGGGGGACAACGACACCTTCGGCTCCGAGGATAAGATTAATCATCGAAGGTACAGTGATACGTATGCTTAATTCTAAATTCCACAAGTTTGTATATTTGCTCAAATTTTGTGTGACTCGTCTGCCGTTTATATTTGTCAACTTCTAACTACATACTCGACAAGCTCGAGACGATTAACAGATGAAAATGTCAGTCGTGTTTTGTGACTCTCTCGACAACTGATTTTGCAGATTAACATATTCCAAGTACTCTTCAGTGCCAACCGACGTCGAGTCGTGTTTTGCGTTACCTATATTATTTATTAACTGATACACAACACTACATTCTAGTATAAATAACTTGTCTTATGGGAATTGGAAATAACGACGGTACCACAAACACCCATTCCAGAGACAATATAGAAAAGTTAGTTTCTACATTGACTCGGCCGAGGATCTAACCCGTGAGATGAGATGGCGATCATGAAAACCGGTGTGCAAGCCGCTCGACCACTGTGGCTCACTATCTTTATTCAGCGTCTTTGAGTTCCCAATACGATACCACATTAACTTTTTCCCAATAAATTCGACGGAAAACGTATTTACCCTTGCTTCTCTTTCGCTTGTAGAGCTTCCCATCTGTTTCTAAGAAAACAGTCAGATGCCCAAAATCTTTCCCCACGGTTCTAAATTGTCTACAATAAGTTTACCTTTATGGTGTAGATACAAACCGAAACTCCGTCTGATGATCTGCCACATGGAAAGTGTTTACCTCGATTACAGACGTTCGCCATATTAAAGATGTACTTCAACTTAGGTAATGTCGCCATGCGTTGCCAACCGTAGGACATAATATCTTAAGATCTAATCTGTGTTTGTGATTCCGTTGTGTGTCTCTACCCTTTACCCCGAAAGACAGCAGTGCAGCAACGTTAAAACCTACTAAAGACAGTTTTATATTAGGTTATAATTATGAAAATCAACCTCATTTTCAAAGAATCAAAGATACACTTTCGATTATATCAGACTATAATAAAGTGCATATTAAATTCAGAGTTTTTAGCGAATTTTCGAATACTGAGCGCTCAGATTACAGCGCTTATTTCTTTGCCTGTAATGCTTATTTCACTGCCATTTTCCCCAATTTTCAAATTGAATAGAAGATAGACGCTTTGGAAATGTGGTGCTGGATAAGAATGCTTATTGTACCTATCGTAGACAGAGTTTCGTACCAAACTCTGCACAGTCTGACAACTCTGTATCAAACAGCATTTTTCTGTTCTTTCTAGTCGTAGCAAAATATTAAAGCGTTCAATATTTATTTTTACAGTTTCCCCATGGAGCTTCACATGGTTTTCTATAAAGAAGAATATCATAATCCAAAAGAAGCCATACTGCATAGTGACGGGCTTACAGTTCTCGCATTTTTCTATGAGGTATTTACCTACTACTTTATTAATAATTGCGTTAGTACGGTACGCGAATGTACCTATAACATATTGCAAGATAACACAAGGACATAGGGAAATGTTATAAAGAAATGTAGAATACCGACAATTAATTACGTATTACTGTCAACATACGTGGTGTATTATAAATGTAAATAACAGCTTTTCCTTAAATAGTCTGCATTATTATTTTAAATGTAACACCTAAATATTCACTTTTTATCATATCAAGTGACGGGACGAACAAGTCGCGCTCCTCGTGGTAAGCTGCACGCCTGTCCATAACAGTTGCAGTGCCACTCAGAGCTTGAAATCGCAAAGATCTGAGGGGCATTGCCACTGCGTCCGTCATCCTGAGACATAAGTTGACAAGTCTCATGTGCCTGTAATTTCACCAGCACCCTTACCCTTCGAAACCGGAACACAATAATACTGACGTTACTGCTTGGTGGCAGTATTTCCCTGGACAAACACTTTCACAAGGAGCTCTATTGCTACTATAAATTAAAATTAGTTTAAATAAAAGAACCCAAACCTTGGCGAACGCGTTAGCAGTCTTTGGGAGTCGCTACATTTATTTTCATGTAATAAGAGCGAAAATGACATGCGTTTCGCGTTGATGGTCCTACTCGTACCTGTAGTGAAACGCACAACATCTATTTCATGGACATAGAGGTTTTTCTAAGCAACATTAATTAGTGTCCCTTTGTCAACATGTTCGTAATGAACGTTTTTGATAACCGACAATTTCACGTCAAAATGTCAAACGACATGTCGGCTAGCATTATCTGTGTCGGTTCTAACAAGGTCAACCGGCTAACTTATTTGCCAATGAATATATCTTTAGAAATAGGTGTTGTAGTGTTGTAGGTGATTACCTGAAGGTAAGTGCGATGTTGTGGAAATTTCGGGTGTGTAATGATCGATATAATAACAAATCATCTAATGTCATTCGATGTACCTAATGATATTTAACACAATTTCAAAAGATGTCATTACTCATGTAGTATAACAACAAAAGCTATAATTTCCGTTTTTGTTTTATTAAAAAGGAAGGTGCGCATTTGATCTCCACCTCACCTGATGAAAAGTGATGATGAGGGCGATGATGTAGCATGCACACCTAAATAATGCCTATTCACTCTCGCCTTGAAAAGGTCCAAGTTATAGCGTTCCGGGAATACGTCCGCAGGCGGGGAATTCCACTCTCTAGCCGCTCGCTATATATGTACGTGGAAGTGAAACGCTTCGTGCGAATCATGGGAATAGCCACAACATAGGGGTGGAATCCTAGCCCACGTGTAGTCCCCCGATGATGAAAAGGGGAAGGCGGTATCAAATTATGTAATTCCATCGCACACTCTCCTTGATATATCCTGTAGAATACCGACAAGCTGGCAACTCTACGGCGGTGTTCAAGGCCCTGCAGCTTCGCTTCAACTAATTTCTAGTCACCTATAAGCCTCTTGCCACGCTTGTCGATTGAATCCAAGGTGGCCAGTTGGAATTTAGCAGAGCCATCCCATAAGTGACAGCAGTACTCCATACATGACAGGACTTGTGCTTGGTACCTACAGCTGAAGCAACTGTCCCGGCATGAATGTATAATAAACATATTTTGTATAAAAAAATGAGGTATAATGATTAGCTAATAAAATGAATGACTAATAAGTTTTACGAAGACGCGCCTAATTTAACAATGTTTGATGGCGCTTTGATCAAAGTTTCTTCGCTCACACGGCTCGCGCATCATTATAGGTACGTTCGGCTGCAGGGCACCGCTCTCATCTAAGGAGAGAACTAAGACACTTTTTGTTGGGGATTTCAAACATTGTCAAGGGTTGTGAATCCACGTCACGATGTTTTTCTTCATTATTGTTAGCGAGAGGTATATTGCTACCAAACATTCACTAATGTATCTACGCAACTTTAAAATGAATGTCGTAGTTACATGCCACTACAGAGACACAAACCGTCAACCTCTCAACTGAGAAGCACACATTCTCCCACTGCCAAACATTAAAGAAAAATCAATTTGTAAGGTATTTAAAACTCTTAATGGTATCATTAGGCTATTTATTTATAGGAACCAAAAGTAATAGCTTGGCCAAAAAGTCCGTGCGGTATTTGCCACTAGCTAATAAATACCTTTTTGGAATGTTATATTGTCTATGGTCATTTTAAAAATAGGCGGGCAAGTGTTAAGTTTATAATTTCATGAAAAACGCTCAGAACTGGTGAATTGTAAGGGTGTCGTATATAATATATTATAATATTTCACTTGTTTCGGACATTACAAAACTTTTTGAATGGACATGATTTTAATAACGATTTTACATGTAGAGAGAAATTCTAAAATTACCCGAACGATGCCAAAAGATTGTAGACCAGAATGCCAATATCCAATTGAAGTTTGATATTTTTTAAATGTTTTCCATTTAGTTCAGGTATCTATTAAGGTAATAATTATAAGTAACTTTGTTGTGATACTGTTACAAATGGCGGCTCTGTAGAATGTCTGCAAATCGTGTGACGTGTTACCAACTTCATATTTTTACGCTTCAAAATTTACGCTGTTTAATATGTTTTGATGCTCCCCTGTCACAATTTTTGTTTAATTTCACTTATTGTCCACTGTCCTCGTCGCCACTGTGAGATTTGAATATAATAGGGATTAAAGTATGAAATTGCCGATTTGTACTGAAAATCTAAATTGTTTATTTTTTAAATTTTTAACAAATTTATTTAATCAAAATAGTTGCCATTATTATCTATACATTGCTGCCATCTAATGGGAAGGTTATTAATGCCTTTGCGATAGAACTCCGACGATCTAGACTGCACAAACTGTGTGAAAGCATTTTGTACTGCCTCCTGGGAAGAAAACTTCTTGTCACGTAGATAATTGTCCAAATCACGAAAAAAATGGTAGTCCGTTGGAGCAAGGTCTGGTGAATACGGAGGATGACGAATGGTTTCTAACTGCAGTTCCTGAAGGGTCAAAATGGTTTCTCGTGCTGTGTGAGGTCTCGCGTTGTCGTGGAGCAATAATGGTGAAGATCGATTCATGAGTCGTAAACGTTAACCCCTAATATTTGATATTAGGTTTTATTTATGCGATACGTACAAAACGCGGTCGAGTCCGTTGACATAGAGAGTGAGCGAGCGAGACATCAACTTAACTTCATTTTAGGGCGCGTTCCCACAGGTACTTAATACTTAGTTCTTTTTCACATGTATTAATAGCTATTCTATAATTTCCAGCTGGACCGTCACTTCCACCCCGCTTACGACGAAATAACCTCAGCTCTAAGCAACGTGACTGAAGCTCATTCCACCGTCATAATGAGCAACCCCTTCTCCTTCCTCAACATCCTGCCGTACGACCTGAGACGTTACTTCACGTACCGTGGTTCGCTAACTACGCCACCGTGTTCTGAAGTTGTCATTTGGCTCGATTTCGAACAGCCAATCAGATTGACGCATGACCAGGTAATAATATATCACTATACATTTTCTCCTATTAGATTTATATTAGAGAATACGACTATTCACATTTCGAGTGAAGCTTAGCAAGTCTAAACTCATTTAGTGTACCAAACTTCAAAATAATCTTTATTTCATAGGTAAGCATTATTTCACGTGGAATCGGGACAATGGTTAAACTCTACCGCTCATTCGTAACGCAGATTCCCCTGAGAAGAATGAGCAAGAAACTCTAGGGGTTGCTCTTTGTAAATAACATTTACAATATTTTTTATTTTTATTTTTAAACATCAGAGATCGAGACTACATCCATGAGCTAAACGGGTTATTACCAGGAATTTTTGTCATCCAAATATGCAGAAGTTGCATAATAACCTTTAGTACAAAGTTTTTGTTTCACTATAGTTTTAAGCCTCGTGAATGGCAAATTTTGTATATCAACCGGAATCTTGTTGTTGAAGCGTATACATTGCCCCTTAAATGATTTTTTGACTTTGTGAAGACTACTATCAAGAACAGCTAGTTTATTTTTATTCCTCGTATTAATGTTATGTCTGTCACTATTTTTCATAAAGAGATTACTATTCCTCTTAACTTAAATTACATTTTCATAAATATACTGTGAGGTTGTAAGAATGTTAATTTCCTTAAACTTATCTCTCAAAGACTAGACCCTGGGGCCCAGATTGTAAATTGCCCTAACCGCACGTTTCTGCAGGACAAAGATTCTATTGATATCGGCGGCCTTACCCCAAAGCAAAATGCCATATGTGTTAATAGCCGTAATATTGTAAGGTTTTCCGAGAAAAATTAACTTCAGTTCGTGATATGCATATTTTTAAATTCCGAACGCCTAGAATTTAGTTGAAAGCAAACATTTTTTGAAATCTCATAAAAACAAATTTTTATGAACAGATCGACGCATTCCGTGAGCTCCGTTCAGAGTACGGCAACATCCGGCACAACTTCCGACCGATACAGCCTATCGGCGACCGCGTCGTCTTCTACAACATCGACAATAACTATTTCGTATACAACGAACTGGACGAGCCTGAGACCACCACAATGAAACCGAGCAGGAGGAAAAAAGATCGTAAAAACCATAGCTTTAGACTTAGTTGTAGTTTTAGTATTGTATTGTTTATGCTGTTTTTAACTAGCATATACCAATAGTTAGGGTGCCTTCAAATTAGAAGTGCTGCAGCAAGTGAACTAAAGCCGGGTTTTCACAATACGAGTACAGTCGGACCGAATCCTCTCGGATGATGACTCGGACGCGGTTCTATTATTGCGAGTATAATCATTTTATGAACACAACATAGCACCAACTAAGAAAAAGTGGAATGAATGTGACTTTATGAGGTTTTAAAAGTGTTTTTACCTTTCTTTCCTACTTCTCGGATAAATTCATTTAAAGCACTCATTTGGTCACGTCTTTAAGTCCACCTTTCTGGTCCAAACTTTTCTCTTAAATTTTTTTCCCTTCCATGATTTTGTACTTCAGCCATTAACATATCTGCTACAATTCATATACCTCGCAGCACCAGATCAGTCGTTAGCATCTTGATTGTGAACCAAAAGCCGAGTGGACGCCTATACGATCTAACAACTCGTACTCAGTCCGCGAGCATTCGTGTAGTGAAAACCCAGCTTAAAAATTACATTAAGCGATACAGATGCGTGGCTGTTGCATCACTGCAGCGCTCCAAACAAGCGACATAGACATTGGGGACATGATTTTGAGGTTTAATTGATTCCTTTACATGCCAGATTAATGAAAGTGTTGATTTCCATCTCTTAATCAAATAATTGGTTCTATAGTAGTGTTTAAAATAATATTTTGATAAAATTGAACTAAGTACACTTATAGTAAGTGAAGTTAGCATAAATCCATCTAAAGTGCATAATTGATATTAAGTCTTTATTACAAATATCGTCATCAACAAGTATTCACATTTACTGTTGTGAGTCTTAATACAGTGCAGGGTCTTTGTCACTCAAGACTACTCATTCAAGATTGATTATGTACTCCCGAACATATAATTCTCGAGCCACCATGCTTTTTTATTCTTAAAGCACTAGAATATAAAAATATTCTTATCATCGAAGAAAAGTTTCCTCCAGTTTTACAAATTCAAATTTTCAACAAACTTTCAAAATTGCATAATAGTTTTTGATCAATCAAACATTGTTAAGCTTAGGGCATTAGATACTCAAAATGCAAGGTGGGTCGAATTATCCGGGAATGTACATTTATACAGGACCGCTGTGACCCACTTAGGAGCTAGTTATAATTAAGGGTAAAGGGTTTATGAAAAAGAACAGTTGTTGTATACAAATTAGAATTATTCTGATATGGCTTTCATTTATATTAATAATGTAGTTGTTGCTTATGTAACCACAACTCATTTACATTAAAAAAAACTTCAGTTCATAATTTCTTTTGACAATAAAAACTGTTATAATGAGTAAAATTAGACTGATTATTAAAAGTTATTATTGCAAATTGTACTATATTTCATATTCGCCCTGTGATATTACGATAGTGTGACATAATAAAATATTATTTTAATAAACGACATTTTACTTCATTGTCTTTATTTCAGTTACTTTTCACTTGAGATAACCACACATTAAAATAATAATATCAAAATCACTGACGTTACAATTGACTATCCTTTTTTTTTCAAAACAGAGTAAATGACAGTTCAATTCGCAATTACTTCCTAGATAATTATTCTAGCGACTGAATTTCTTTTACTTAAAATAATGGTTAAAAAACTGTGAAACAAAAATAGACGACATCTTGAAAGAATACAATCGTACTTCTGTACTTCATAAATTGTTTTCGACACCAGTGGGCCATCTATCAAAATAAGAATACACACGATAATACAATTATATTATGAATTAGAACATCAAAACATTCACTACTCCAGGGTTTCTGCAAAATTTTATCTCCCATTACAATCTTCAGACAAATATTATTTAAAATTTTACGAAACATGGCAACCACCATTTTACTCCATGTTGGAGAAAAATGTATACTTAACTTTTTACAGAAAGTTTAATTAGGTACTCAAAAAGTAACACGTATGTAAAGAAATCACCACATACTTAAGTGATATTAATATTCATATTATATTAAAGATAAATGCCTTTACTAACAATTATCACTGTAGTGCACTTCAACAACTAATTATAAATTGGATGCTCATCACTTTAATATATTTTAAGCTATGAATCAATCATCATCAGTAGATCTGTTTTCATTCATAGTAACCATGGCTCCTAAATTATCCTCCGCACCTTGTTTCAATCTCTCCCAAATCAACTCGGCTATGGCCTTTTGTGTTCGCCTTTCTAGCTTCTCTAGTTTTTTAGCTACATCCCTTTTAAGGTCCCAGTCTGGTTTCCTAGGTGCTAAACTTGATATGTCTAAGTCTTGTAGAACCACCTGAAAAATTATAACAACTTTTGTAACAACAAGACAACAAAACATGCTTAGTTGTGGAATATGTTTTATTGCAAATATCATTCTGAGCGTATTCTTAGGCTGCTATATATGCAATTGCATGTAGTCAAATGCAAGCAGTTATTTCCGCACGCCTAGTTCAGGAGCTCAGTGTATTTGTTGATGTGACATGGAAGTAGTTAATACTTGTAGTTTGTCTGTGTATTCAGAACATTTATGACTCCAAATGCTGACTTCTATACTCTGCAGTGGAAATAGCGATAAAAATGCTAATAAAGGTGCCATTACAAAAGAATATTTTAAGAATTAAGAAATTATTAAATAAATCCGTGTAAGTTTCTAAGGGTCGTATTCTAGAACTCTACTCAATGTTCAAGTCAGGATTGCACTGGAAACACAAGCACTGGAAATACGACCCTAATGGCAGGGACTTGAGTATGATTTCGAGTGCTTTAAACCATACTCAAATCCTGACTTGAGCATTGAGTAGAGTTCTAGAATACGACCCTTAAACCTTCAAGTAATTGTTACCTTTTGCCATTACTACCAAAAGTCAAGTTGTATCTGACATAAAAAAAAATATTCAAATGTCAATTAAAAAACAAAGCAAAACTTTAGATTTTTGGACTATTGTTCACATTGTCTGTAGCCGTAACTGGCAGTCCATCTGTTAGCAGCCTTAAAGATTGATATCATTGCTATGCCTAGCTATACTTAGCTACTATAAAATACTTATATATAAAAAATGTTTTTGTTGCTTTTGATAATGTAGAAAAAATGTAACAAAAATATGTGACTGTCTAGTAGAGCCAGTGGTCATAGTAGCGAATCGCAACAGTTGCTACAAATCTCTTTTGTATATATTTTATGGTCTCTTTAAGTTTTACTTTTATATTTAAATTCTAAATTTAAATGTGATTGTTTTTGGCGCTTTTTATTGACTGTTGTTTTGCTGTTTTGCTTTGCTAGCTATTTATACATATTTTATAATAAAAATTAATAAACTGTAAGTACGCTTGCTTGGCCTTGCTCACTCATTGTTAGCATCCACCCTTTAACCCATTGATACAGTCCGCTACAGTCATACTCGTGATAAGAAAGAACTTAATAAAAGTGATATTTAAAGTTACTAATAAAATGTTGGTCCCCGTGTAAAATGTGTGCATTCATTCAACTGCCTCTGTGCTGGCCTGTGATGCAGAGATCCCGGTTTTTTTTTTAAATTTTAAGTGCGCATTTGACCTCCATCTCACCTGATGGAAAGTGACGACGATGGAGCATGCACACCTAAAAAATGCCTATTCACTCTCGCCTTGAAAAGGTCCAAGTTATAACATTCAGGACTCAAATCTGCAGGTAGGGAATTCCACTCCATAGCCATTCGCCATTTAAATGTGGAAGTGCAATGCTTCATGCGAATCTTTGGAATATCCACAACATAGGGGTGGTACCCAAGCCTACGACTGGTCCCCTGATGATGGAAAGGGGGAGGCGGAATTAAATCGTGTAATTCCGTCACACTCTCCGTGATACATCCTGAAAAATACCAATAAGCAGGTAACTCTACGGAGGTGTTCAAGGCTCTGCATCTTCGCCTTCACCAATTCTAAGTCACTAATAAGCCTCTCTGCAAGGTTGTTGATTGAATCCAAGGTGGCCAGTTGATATGTAGCAGAGCCATCCCAAAGGTGGCAGCAGTACTCCATGCACACCCGGACTTGTGCTTGGTACAGCTGGAGCAACTGTCCAGGTATAAGATAACGCCTCACCCTAGAAATGATGCCAAGCTTCCTTACTGCATTCTTTAGGATACAATGTATTTGCCAAAGTTCACATTGGACGACAGGTCTATTCCAAGTAGCTGGAGACGGTCTGCTATCGGTATGGACACATCACGAAAAGTCGGAGTCAGATAAAAGGACTCCGTTTTGTGGAGAATAGACATACCTGAGTTTTGGTAGCTTTAAATTTAAGAAGATTGGCATCGCCCTAATCGGAGACTGCCATAACTTACTAAATAAATAAATGTACTTGTCCAATCCAAACTGCTAACAATAGACTCTCGACAAGACTGGATTTCCTCTCCACTGACCCTTGCATTGGTGAAGTACCTATCTACAACTGTGCTGTCATCAGCATACACAAAAGTACCTGGAATTAACATATCTTTGATATGCAGCAGAAAGAGATTCCCGGGTCGGGAGAAATATTTGTATGGCCTACATTTATTTATGTCATGACCTTGGATGTTGTTTGTGGTTTTCTGTGTGTGGCCATGGCACGCGCGATACAGGGTTTCCCTAGTGTGGGGCTATGAGTGTGTGCTTTATTCAATTGGAAAGAATAGGGCAGCAACTTATTTAGCTGTCAATGTTTGTTACCCTAAGTACAATCACTATGGTGGCACTTTTTTCTTGCATTGTGTAGATAAAAAGATTGTTCAGAAGTTAGAGGTTTACCTTTTCCTTGCCAGCTTCTAACAAGTCTTTGACTTCCTCGTCAACAGAGACAGGTAGCGCATCTTCCAATTTGGCTTCTTGCAGACCCTCATCTTGTGGTTTGTAACTTCTAAACTTGGGCCTAGAACATATGCAAAGTGCTCAATAAATAAATTATAATAAAATAAATTAGTTACTAATAACCTCGCAGGACTATAGTACTAACAACATAAACAACTTTCATTCCACGACTTAATTAATAATTAAATTTACCAAAAATCAACTTTTAAGGTTTTGTTAAACAATCTGTAAAATTTTAAATTTGTATTTGGTAGGAAGTCCTATAAAAAAAGCTGTATGTATGAAATAAATAAATAAAATAAATAAAAAATAAAGTTCAAACATGCAAGTGTTTTTCTCAAGAAACTCCACCCTAGCTCCTGCATTTTGCAAAGGACCTCTATTTACGCATTTTCTTTTGTTGCCTCACAGAGTTAGCAGTTTATTGCACAGTGTGTGCGTGTGCATTATTGTTATTTTTGTATTAAAGTAAAATCTGATTGATTATTATGTCATAGAACAAAAGCTGTTGTCTATGATGTTAGTAATGAGTCCTGTGAGGTTATTACTGTTTTACACATAAACCTGTAGTCTCTCCTTACCCTAGTGTGTGAAAACTATCTATATTGAATCAAAACTTTGAACCATACAGAGGATTTGTTACATAATATGAACTTTTGTCATAATATTTGCGATATTCTACGAAGTAAACATAACATAACCTCACATTATTCGTGTCTGATCCATCATGTTTACTTACTTTGGTAGCGGTACAGCTTCTATAGGTGTGTTTGAAGAAGCACTTTCCTCACTCGGATTCTTCCGTTTGAGGTTTTTAAGCCGCTCTTTCCTTTTAAGAGCCTGTTCTTCTAAACTGCCAATACTTTCTTGCGTATCCATTATAACCATGACCAATATAACACAGCTGATGACTTTTTCTACAAAATTTTCAAACTTGTTTGATTATAGTTGTTTTTAAAGTTATTTCTTAATAATTTCCGATATTAAGAAAACTATAGCTCTCAACTTCAACTTCAACTTTTGTATCTATGGCTCCACATTTTTTAAAATAATATTTATTTACTGACATGAGGACAAGACAAGTGTTTTTTTAGTTTTCGTCGGAAAACTTTTTAATGGCTTGACCCATTTGCTTGACCTGCTAGCATAATGGTTAGTGTTTGTGCTACTGCAGAATGAAAAACTTGACTTTTGAAAATTATTTTTTTTTCTGGAATGTTTCCATTAATGTAATGGGAAATTAAAAAGGATTTTATGAATGCTTAAAATGGATATATAAAGTGAATATTATTGTCTGTATACGAAAGTATAGCCCGACCATAGCGTAAAAAACTAAGATAAAAGTTGAATTTATTTATTTAATTTTCTGTATCTTTTTGTGGTCTGGTCTATTTTTCCGTTTTGCAAGTTTTTTGATGACTTGTATTACCCTTGCTTTTATTTACCAAGAAAAAGACACAATTCTAACTTTATTTTTGGTTAAAATAATAGTTGCTCAATAAAAAAACGAGCAGTCATTTGTCCAATTGCAAACTAACTAATAGATGTCGTTACTTGTAGCATAAGATAGTAATTTGGTTTATTACTTCTTTGACATTTTTGAGAAAATTCTGTATTACTTAGATAAATACTTATAGATCTTTCGATTTATCGTCTTATGCGTTTTATATACTATACGTCTATTTCGTTATTTTCGGCTGATAGATGGACTTTACCTACTACTTAGTACTTATTTAAGTTTTAGTGGAGTACCTCGTTACGGTAGAGAATTAAACAACTTTAATTACATACAGGATTTCTTTATTTATAAATGTCAGTATACTTACTTAATTACTAATTATTTACAATGTTGATTCCATTTTTGATAAACTTGGCTTGAACTCTATATTTTGTATTATTGGGTTCCCGCTCAATGCCGCAACTATAACCACTATTTATACTTATAAATATAAAAAATATGCTATATTTATGTATATAAATAGTTAACATAAAAATTGATGAATATATACAAATTTATCTATAGATACGCGACGCAGCTATTATATAAATTAATTTCAGTAAATGAGCGCAAAAGTAGCACTTAACAATTAAATTAAATTGTTGATAGTATGTAGTTTACATTTGGAGTTTCGTGTCGTAGAACAAGGTTCCATCTTGTTTTATGACACAACTACACAACTGGACTAGGGTTCACATTAAAATATGATTAAATGAGAACCCTTTTGGTGAGGCTTCGGTATTCGTTTGTACCGGTGCCATTGTTTCTCAGAACTACTTTCGGATTTAAATTTGGCGTAGTGGAACAATTTTATAGTTTTTGTTTTAAACGTAATGTCGCAATCTGACAGTGGGGCAACAACGCAATGTCGAGTATTTCATGAAAATTCTTTCCTTAAACATTCTAAGACAACGTTTTATGATTAAATGCATGTTGCATATTGTTTGACTTTTTGGCAAAAATGTGTAAAAACATTACTGCAAGATTCTTGGTCTTTAACATTCATTCATTCCAATGTTATAATTTCAAAGTTGAAAATCTTGAAATTACTGTGAACTATATTATATACATCGCACACCGGCTTCAACAATTATATCAAAAGTCAAAAAAAACTTTTTGTTTTGGTTTTGGTTTGGGTGCGTCCAGAAACTTTCCAAGTTTTCGGTAAGAAACTGGGAAAATTGTGCATCATTGTACTCAGTCTGAAAGCAGCTAAAATGTCACTTTGACGACTACCGATGATATTTCTATTTATTCCAAAACCAAACCGTCACTTTTTACTTAAGTAATTTTGGATAGTTATTGTTGAAGTTGATGTGCGATATTTTACGAAGAAAATCTCTTGAGAGAAAAGAAATTGTATACACGCAAGTTCGACAAATTCCTTGTAATATCAATAATAAATTTGTTTTTGATTAACAAGAGTAAATAGGTAAACAGTTGAATAAAAATAACAGTTTAATTTAATGTTAAACAAACTTTAATACTAAACTTATGTAAATAAGTCCTTATATATATCTATAATTTACTACTTATGGCAGTTGATAATTCCTACTTTTTAAAATAAATAATCACCTTTAACTACGAACTGACGACTTTGTTCAAATTGTAAATATGCTTGAATTGCTGAAACAATAGATTAATAGTGTAGGCAGTGACGAATGGTAATGTTATGTCTTTGGTTGTGACCTGCAGAAAATGAATCCATGGACAAAGCTCATTGATGAAAACTACATGTTTGCAACATAATATAGACACTCATTGACTAAATAATTCATCCCACAAACAAACATTGTTTTGTGCCTTGTGCAATTATTGTTTTCCTATAAATTGGGTCTCGTGTGTCTCCGGCTGTCGAAAGGTAGCCTATTCGAAATATTGTTGTTCAAAGGCAATCCATGGTTTAAGGACAACACTTTGGATACTATGTTCAGGTCTTCGTGGCTCCTTCCGTTCAACCCGGTTTGCGCCAAAAGTTGTTTCAATTCTGAGTCAGGATTGAACTGGTTCGGCCTGCTGCCGGCCGGAAAAAAGCGATTAGTGTAAATTGGATTGAAAGTATTGAATCTATTATAGTTCAAGTTGTTATTCAATCCAAAATTTCCGACGTTACTTTCTTGCCTAAACACACGGTTGCCATGTTTCTGCCTAAATTGTTCATCAGGTCTGATCTGATTGAAGTGAGGCAGTTGGTTGAAGTGTTGATTAGGATTTGGAGCCAAGAAATTGCCTATACCCTGCGGGAGGTGATTCTCCTGCAGGGGAAATTGATTTTGTTGCTGATTGCGTAGATGAAGAAGGAAATCAACAGCTTCACGATTAGGAAGTTGTTGCTGAATAGTTAGAGGACTTCCAGTATCTAGAGGAACGCTCGGTTGGATGGAAACCTGAGCACTTTGCAATGGTCGGCCGCCAAGATTTTGGTTTAAAAATTGATTTTGTTGAACATGTTTTGGCAATCCTTGGACTTGAAAGTTATTTATAGTTGGTGAAGCCAGAAGTCTCTGTGGTTGTTGTTGTTGATGATGCTGTTGTTGCTGCTGAAGTTGCTGTTGTTGTTGCTGTTGTTGATGACGCTGTTGTTGCTGCTGAAGTTGCTGTTGCTGCTGAAGTGTCTGTTGCTGCTGTTGTTGCTGCTGTTCGAGAAAAAATTGTTGACGCTGTGCTTCTTTCTGTTGAAATAAAAATTGTTGTTTCCTTAACAGCTCTTCCTGTTGTCTTTGTTGAAGCTGTAACTGGCGGAGTTGCTCTTCTAGAATTCTTTGTTTCTCTTCCAGCTGTCTTTGCAAAAGCAATTGCTGACTGATGAAGTCTGGTTGAGTTGATTGAGGAAATTTAGTGGTGGCAGTTTGAAAAGGTACACTCGGTGATACGGTAATTGGCGGGATCAGTCGGTTTGGAACACTTGGAACTGTTTCCTTCAATGGTTGTACCACATTAGATTGTTGGAAAAGTGGTATGACTTTTTTAGGTAGCCCTTGAGCATCCTGATGGACGGTGAACGCTGCTACTAATGGAGCTTGGAATACTTGAACGCCACCTTTCTCAACTTCTTCAATGTTTTCTCCATCATCATTATGCGTTGGTTTGGGGGTAGTTGTCGTTGTCGTAGTCGTAGTAGTTGTTGTACTTATAGTTGTCCGAGGTCGGGTGCTCGTAGTTGAGATTATGTTATCGTTTTTGGACGTGGACAGTATGCTTCTCACTTGTTGGACATTTACACCCGACTCTCTCGTTTGGAAGATTTCAGTAAAAGGTGACTGTGTTGCTAGAGTCTTTCTTACAGGATTTTGTACATTGCCAACAGTAGTACTAAGTATTGAAATTTTCTCGTTATTAATAAGTGTGGGTGTAGTATTGTTGCTATTGGAATTAGAGAACGCCTTTTGTCCGTTTACTAGGAAAGAATGAATTTGAATTCCTTCTTTTGACGTTTCTTGTTGCAAGGACTCTGTGACATCATCACCAGTCTTCAATATCTCCGAATCATTTGTAGATGTTACGTCGCTCTTATATTCGGTCGTGGGTGTATCTTCTTCGCTCTCTTCTAGTTCACTCAATGCTTTTAGGAGCGCCTTTCTTATATATGGATCTAGCCGTACTGAAGGCTTCGCATCTATACTATTTAATAAGTCATTAACGTCTGTTGTCGCATCTTGAGTAGCCGCTATTGTCACTACAGCGACGAGAATGAACGCTGGCACCTGAAATAGAAGAAAAATGAAATATTAGTGATTAAATATTGGTTATAAGAAACGCAAGGCTTATAACAGTGAGTAACAATGTTGCCTGACATCGTCCACGAACGACGATCATACATCGCGATTATGATAACTTTATGAATACTTCCACGTTTCCACGATCTTAATGTTTTTAGATGTCTTCGGTTACATTGTTCGCGTAATGTGGAACGGTGACTGTTTTGTTGCTGCCTTATTACACAACTCGCGTCGTCTCAACAGGGTGTTGGGTACAAGTGGGAGTATTTTTCATAAACATTATCAACATTCGACCGTGTCTGATCTAAATTTTGCGCAAACGATTTCGAAAAGAGGTTAATTTTCATTGTGTACGTGTGACTAATTAATTTAACTTATGATGCATGGTCATTTGTTTTATGCACGTTTTGTATGAGTACGCATAATGAGATTGCAGCTTGTTGCGTGTCATGAAGTAGCAGCCCTTCTAGATAGACGAACGCGCTTATTACGAACGCGTGCGTGACTGACGAAACGTTTGAGAACCCATTTATCACATAAAATCGACAATTAATAAATTCTTATGCCTCCATTGTTATCCGTGTGGTGTACGGTGCCTTCTTGCCTAAGAGCGTGACCTCTTACTTTCTACAACTTATAATATTGCCTGCAGCTGTTTAAGAAACTGAAAATATTTATTGGTGCATCATTAGTGCGGTGTGAAAGTGTTCGACTCAAAGGTGTTATCAAAAGGAAATAGCCTAAACGTCGTGAGAATAATACAGCGAATCGCAAAGGTACACGCGCTCAATAATTGTTAGGATACTCTACCGCAAAAATCAGAATCGGAACTTGTATTCATTTATCAAAGTAAACTATCTAATCAGATCATACTTGTTACGCATTGTGAGCTTTAATTCGCTTGAACAAACCTTACAATCATTATGAGTTAAGTAAGAGTATTGGAAATTGAACAATTTTTTCCGATCTAAATCTTAGACGAACCAACGTTTCTTTAATGGTATCATGGTCTCGGCTGTACCGTAAACTATGGAATAAAGTCCTCGAAACTGATTTGTTTGACGAAACAAAACGCTATTTCAGTTCCGAAAAAATTTCAGTTTCGTTACCAGCTTTCGCGTAAACCTAAGATTTTTTTTTCTTCTTTCCATAAAGGAAAAGGCAAAGGTTTTACACCATACAGCCAAGTCTTGGTACATTATTAAGTCTTTTGAGCCATGTCTTCGTTTAATTATGTTTCTGTAAATATGGCTGCCACAAAGGGGATAGGCAATTTGAGGCAGCGTGTTTGGATTGGCTCGGGATTCCTTAGAACGGGCAGATACAGGTATTTTAGTTCGAGATTCGTATAATTTCGCGTTTTAATCTTCGATTAAGGCACAATAGCACTATCCTATTCCACTTTAAACTAGATTTCACAAAATAATTGAAAGTCAAAATAAAAACGACACTTTTCCCTCCAAAAGGCCCAGAGCGAATGTAAACCTAAGAACTCGATAAGTAAGAATTGCTTGAATACTTATCTCTGTTTACAATTTTTATAAGTGGTAAGTGCTAATTAAACTACATGTTATACACTGTGATCCGCTCTAAAGAAAGGGGTTATTTCGGTACCATCATTAAACAATACTCCTACTTCATTTTTAGACATGTTATGTTTTTAATTTGCTTCTGTTTCCCTAATAACAAAAAAAATTATGTTATTTTGTATTTTTTTCGAATTTTGTTTTTTGTTTCTTTTTTTCACAAAATCCGGGCACCATAATATTAGTAAATTTTAACCTGTGTAAGTCTTTCTATCAATAAACCATAAATTTTACTGGCTACAGCAGCCAATTGAAGAAGCCTTGCAAACCTTTGTGTACTTGGTTATAACTTCGATTTACGTAATACATAGGCATAAAAATACTTCGACGACGCTTTCACTATAAATCACGACGCCTCTCGATGACGGCTAATGTCAAAATCAATATAGCCTGCGCATGCGCTGGGTCGCCGTACACACATGAATAAATACTTATGTCACGGATATGAATGTACATGGTTATAGTCGGATGTATGAATGACATGTTACAGGCGTTTAAGACATTCGATATGTTACTTTATTCGGTTGCGCATGCGTCTATCATCGAATACTTATTCAAAGGCTATAATGATCACTTTATAATTTATTTTTACTAATGGAGTCATTGTTTTTATTGTAACTTTATATAGACGAACTTTAAAGTTGGTAGAAGGTAGAGTATACGTAAAAACGTTGAAATATGACAACAATATTCATAATTGAACCACTGGCCACATATACGAGTATCAGAATGTTGAATCGAAATCAAAAGACAGTCGCATTCATTCTTTTTTCAAATTTTTAGTGGCCAGTGATTCATGTGAGCCAATGTTCACATAATTCAACCTTTTTTTAACGTTCAACTAAATATGTCCATAATTTTACTTTTAATTTCGTTGTTCTGTTACTAATAGGGTTGAGAATTACCTAAAAAAATTTGTTGACTTTGTTTTTTTATAGTACTAAGTGATGGAACGAACAAGTCATGCCCCTGGTGTTAAGCGACATGCATGCACCGACAGAGCTCGCAACGATCGGAGGGGCCCTGCCGCTACGCCCGTCAACGAGGGACACAAGATGACAAGTCCTATGTGCCTGTAATTTCACCAGCACCATTAGGCTCAACTCACACTGGCGTCCTGTATTCCAACTACAACCCATGGCGACGCGCGTCGACGTGAGATTCCATATTTGCATAACAGAAATTTGTACCTTAATTATGGGAAAATAGAGATGAATATGCGAAAAACTTGATCACGCGTCGCGACGCTTCGACTCTACTACTTCCATGGACAAACTTTTCACAAGGAGGTCTACTGCTACTAAATTATATTCCATACAAAGACATACATTTTGAATTATGCTTATATGGGTAGTATGCACATGCCCCTACTCTATAAACGGACGTAGCACACCCACAAGCAGAGCACGCGCATTATACCCCTGACATAATCCTCTGACCCGTACCTACTTGCGCAATAAGAATTTACTTACCTGCACGGTTCAGCATAATTTTTTATATATTGACAGGTTAATATTAAAAGTTACCGCAATCTTAAAATTTATAGACATAGTCAGGATATTAATAGTCTTCTATCGTGTATGGCTCAATAACCTTTCGTTTTTATTAATGTAATATAAATAAATAATATTATTTATTGTAAAGTATCATATGATACTTTTATTAATCAAGTTCTTTAACTGACTATATTTATAATTCACACCTTTGGTGTAATAAGGTCACACCTGCAAAATGGCAAGTTTTCGGGAGAAAAGGTGTAAAGATTCTACGAAAGAAATAAGTTGGTAATTTTTTATCCTTAAGAGTAGATTCTGCGTAACAGTGAAGGTGTTGAATCAATCACTTCGGAAAAAATATAGTAAAATTGAGGATATGCACTGATTAGTATAAATGTTCTGCATAAATGAGTTAACCCACAAAATGACAGTTTCGAGATATAGAGCATTAAAGATTTTTGGCAACTATTTGTCATTACTCATTTTAATTAATGAAGTTTACAGGACAATTATACATCAAACGATTTGTAATGAAGTAAGCATTACGATCAGTTTATTATTTTTTTAAGTAACAAATTTATGATTAGTAGTTAAATGAAAATAGAACAAAAAGGAATCGTGTTTTCACACCATATATTATACATATAGTGTGAAAACACGATTCCTAAAAATTTTTAGGGTGCGCCTGATGGTAGGCGACACGCCTGTCCATGACAGTTGCAGTGCCGCTCAGAGTTTTAAATTGCAAACATCTGAGGGACACTGTTACTGCGCTCGTCACCTAGAGATATATGTCTCATGTGCCTGTAATTTCACCAGCACCCCTTACCCTTCAAAACCGGAACACAGTAATGCTGACATTACTGCTTGGCGGCAGGAATAAGTAAGTTGGCAGTACCTCCCTGGACGAACTCTTTCACAAGGACCCTTACTGCTACTTAAGTTATTTTTACTATAGAGCTTTTTAAAAAGAATGAGCTTAATTAGCCATTTAAAAACAATCTGAAGGTCAAATATAATATGTTAAATAAAAAACAAATTAGTATATTTTACCATTGCGTGATTTTTAGCATTCTTAGAGAAAACATCTAAATTTCAAAATATGGAGTGAAGGTCCTTTACCTCTCACATATTTTTTTGAATTTATTTAACCGTAATAAAAACATTTATTTATTAAATTTTTATTGAATTGATATTCAATTTTTTTTTTGTGAAATGACTCCACTAGTATGTTATAATTATTAATACTAATAATAGGTTAATTAATAATAGGTTCGAATCCGACCGGATCGAAGGAATTTATTCTGAGTGTTCTATCTTTGTATTAATAATTATAACATTTATTTAGGTAAGATAATTAGCGGATACTGCCGCTGTTGAGGCTACTTATAAGTAAAAATGTATTTATTATTATAAAAAATTGTAATTATTATTGATTGTAAATAGATTGTAAATATTATTATAAAAATCATTAGTAATGTGAACATTGCTGCTTGGCGGCAGAAATAGGAAGTATTTCCCTGGACTGGAATTTTTTCACAAGGAGCTCTAATGCTTTGGGTATCCTTAAAGGAAAGGGTTTAAGCTTCACATATTTTCCATGGGTTGTCACTTTCTTCGATGAGCGTAATTCACAAATTTACGTAACTTAGGTATTATAGAAATTGAAATCCTATGCACATACGACCACAGTTCATTTTTCAACTGGGTCACAATTGCGGTACCATTTCAGAGTTCAAAACGAGTATAACCCATTATCTTTATGCATTCGCTGCACACACAGAAGCACCTCATTGCTCACTATGAATGCGATAAAACAGACAGCTCATTATTAACTTAAGCCCGTAACGACGGAATTTCAAAACATTCTAAATTGTTACCGACGTGATTTTGATGCTTTTTT